GGCTTCAGTGTTTTACGTGTTGCTACAAAATAGTACTGGTTATGACCCCATAAACATGGGGTGCAACCCTTAGGCTAGTACATTCTTGAATCCCCAACTCGTGCCCTCTCGAGGCTTGATATAGGGTTTTAAGCTGGTTTTTCACACTGGCCATTTAAGATGGTTTTGAGGGATAAACCAAAAGCGCCAAGCTCGGAGCTGAGGCCAGTCGTCGGGTTGCAGGCTTAGGGAAGCTCCGGGGCATGGTTTGAAGCTATCAGAACTCCGTAATTCCTACACAACCCTCCCCCTTTCCCCACCCTCCCCGCTTCCGGAGACACGGCCTGGGCAACTGACCCCCTTGCCGGGCTTCCATCGCTTGCAGCCCGAACGGGTTCCGCCGACGGTGTTGGTGCCGTCGCCTTCGTTGGGCTAGGATCAAGGTTTGGGGGGTTTAAGGGCTTGTGGGCTTTATCGGTTTTAAGTTCGGGTTTAGGGTTGGGCGGTTTGGGTGTCATGAATCGGGTTGTGGAACTTTCTAAGGGTGTCATTTTGGCACGGCTTGCATGCTCCTTAGTCCAGTATGGGCCCACAAGTGTAGGCATAATGACACAGGCTCAAACGGCGCCAAGGCTCTTGTTGAGACTCGAACAAGCTTCGGGGAAGCCTTTTACCATGGAGTAACCATGCGATAATTCTTCAGGTTCCTACATTTCTTCAGCTGCGCCTCCCCGACCAGAGCAGATCCCTTTTCGACCGGCATGGCTGAGTGCCTGGCTGTGCAGGTTTCAGGGGCAAGGGGGGAGTGTCTACGGGGCATTTGGGGCTTGAAGGGCTTTAGGCAGGTTTGGACAGGGTAGGAGGCAGCTTGAGCAAGGTCCCCTTGTCACAAGACCGCCGAAAGGGTACAACCCTAATGCTGTAAAGCCCGAAAGCAATGAAACTTTCGAGCGGGAAAGAGCCACGAACTCGAATCCTTCAAGGAAAACCCTCGGCCTTCCCTGAGCACACAGTGAAACCCTGAAACGACACACAAACTCCTGTTTGCTCTCCTCTTTTTTCGAAGCCTCAACCTGGGTCCAACTTCATACCATGTCCCGCGAACAAACCTCCACCACAAAACAACGTAGCCATCATACTACTATCATTGACTAACATTGGTACTTAGACAAACACAAACCCATAAATAACCGTGGCAATAACCAAACATGGCAAGTGCATCAATACACACAAGTCAAAGAAGCTTTTTTGGGCCAGCGGCGAGGCTGCTTGCGTCTCCCCCTCGGAGATGTGGATCTCCCGATGGGCAGAAGCTGCCGGCAGCGCTGCTTCGCGCGCCGGGGCTGGGTCCTCTGCTCTTTTTTGGGGGCTCTGGGACTTTCCGGGGAGTTCGTGGTTTACAGAGGGATCAGGGAGTGGGCCCGAACTGGCCGCTCCACTTCCTGGCTTTCCGCATCAGCTGCAGATAACAAGAGAAAAACCACCCGGTTCCGTAAGGTAAAGGGATTCTTCAGGGAGCTTAGGGTGTGGGGCTTAGACGTAGATTAGGGTCTGAGATCAGCTACGGTTGACAATTCCATGCCCTCTGACTGTCATACGAAACCGAACAGTGGAATCCCTGCCACGTGTATAGTACGAAGTATCTAGTTGCACTCTCGGCCCAAACGCTCCACAAAGAACTGATGCAGCTCCCGGAGAACGAAATTACCCTCCAAAGCGAGAGTATTGAACCGCAAATGTATGGTCTGTTCCCGCCGTCGGGTTCTTGTCGTGAGGCGAGACAAGTAAGCCCTGATTAGTCAGTCCTCGGAATGCTCGACAGAACAAGCTCCGAGGCGGCAAACGAAGAACAACAAGAGTAACCACGTGACGAAGGGACGCACATAACGAGACCGGGGTCTCAGAGCTGCTCTTCAGGGTGTGATGCTGAAGGTTTCTGTATTCGCGGAAAGGACCATGGTCCATCAACGGTTCTACTATATTTTTATTACTGCATACAAATGCTCGGGCGCTGTAGTAGACCCTAAACCCTTAAATCTAAGCCTTATGCCCTAAACATCCCTAAAACCCCGAAATCTCAGCCCCATGCCCCGGATATCCCTAAGCCCCAAAAGCAGAACCCTAAGCCAAAGAGCCCCACAATTCCCAATGTCCTGCTCGAAGAGTAAGACAGAGCCTCTGGGAGCCATGGGCACACTTTGGTGCCTTGGCATCCGGTGGCATCGTACTCTTCGGCTGCTTGAGGCTTTAGGGATCGAGTGTGTGTCAAAACCGAGGCTTTTTTTCCCTTATGTCCTGGGTCCCACTGGCAAAGATCTTATCATTTGGGGGTATCTGCATCCCATAATGTCAGGGACATCGGTTTTCTGAAACTCCCTCGTGGCTGTCGGGGGCGTAGACTGGGGTTTGGGCATTGGGGTGTAGACTTCAAGATTTTGGGTGCACTGCCGTTAGCTTTTCGGGCATGGCCGGAGGATGTCGGCTGGATTTTCTTCCAGAGTCTGCGCCTGTGAGGCTGCGCTAACAACCCTTCGCACATGCAAACCCTAAACCGCGCTACGCCCGGACGTTACGCCGCAGCTCAAGAATAAGCATGGAGCCATAACAAACGAATCTAGTGGCATTTGCAGTACGAAAATGCCTTGGTCGTGGCTGAGGAGGCAGCTCTTACAGCATATTTTTTTTTACAAAACAAACATATTGGCAACATGGACGTTATCATCGTTCGGCCATGAATGCTCTGGTAACATGGACGGTATCATCGTTCGGCCATGGATGCTCTGGCCACTCGCACGCACTGGCAACATGGACGTTATCATCATTTTCGGCCATGGATGCTCTGGCCACTCGCACGCACTGGCAACATGGACGTTATCATCGTTAGGCGAGCATGCAGGAGCCGAAATGCTGACAGCGCGCGCGAATACCAGTCTAGACAAGCCGAATCTGCTGGAAAACGCAAGACATCAAGCACCTGTGCAAGCGCGGCAAGACACTTGGGCGGCGGGCTAAACCGCCTAACCCCCTAAGCCCTAGATTCCAGAAACCCCGAAATCCTAAACCAAACAGCCAACCTTTTTTTCTGGAAACGCACCTTGGACATCCCTGAGCAGGTAGAACTGGAGCGTTGCTGGTCTAGGGTCATGGGTCAGTAAGCTCATGTACCAAAAGCCTAGAGTGTAGGGCTGGTCCAGGGTCTACGTAGGTCACGAACTCTTATACTCAGAGTTTTGGCGAAAACAGCATGCCACCGCGTTTAGGATGATTTTGGGATTTGGGATACGGGAGGTCGTTGGGTATTTTGTGCTCGCGTACAGCAAACCACGCACACTTCGTCACTCAAGCCTCAGATGTCATCGCAAAAGGGTAGCTCCGTTAAAGTCGACTCTCCAAACGCCTAAACCCTAAAAACCCCCGAAGCGTCGAAACAAGCTCAAGTTCCAGTCTCGGCTGCTCTTCCAGCGCTGAGCTTGAGCTGCTGCGCCTCTCGCCGACCGCGATCGGAGCATTTTCCTCCAACCGCTGCTCCTGGACTAGCATAAGATCACTGGAGCAAGGAATTAAGGATTCAGGGGCTGTTCCGTTTAGGAAAACATGCTTCCAGTACTGAAAGCTTATGTACGGGAAGGGGCTGGGCCCGGGTGTGGGGCATTTTCCCTGAAGGCCTTTCATACCATCCGCTTGTCAGCCCAACAAAGAAAAGTGGGCTACTGTGTTGTTCGTGCATCAGGCCGCACGAGGTCACTCCTAGACCATGAACCCATAAACTCGACAAGCCCCAAAAACCCAAGACTAGCCTAACACCCCACACTCCAAACCCAACAAAAACTAATCTTTCGCCCAAACGGCGGCCGCCCTCAGTTCGGGCGAGGAGGCCTCCAGAAGCGCCTCCACATCCAAGTTGGACCTCTGCAACATTTGACTGGGGGGTTGAGGGTCTAGGCCTCGGGTCTAAAGGCCTTGGGGAGTCTAACAGCAGCTTCACAGCCTGACCCCTACAGTCACATATTCGAACGAAAGCATGAACTTGATTCGAGATCTAATTCCGAACGAATGCCAAGTACAACTTTAGCGACACCTCCGCTTCAAAACAAAATGATGCTTCCTCCGAAAGTGTACTCATTGCCGGCTGGGACAGGACACGCCTCTGCACCGCGGGAAGGAAGTGCGAAAGACATGCGATCACCCCAAATCTCACATCAGAGTGGACCCAACCTTCTCAAAACGGCGCGGCTCCGATCCCTAAACTCTTCAAAGTGCAGGGGTCTGAGCCTGGGATCGGAGAAACGGAAAGTCTCAGAGTCTGAGCCGCTGTTCAATCCTAAGGCTCCAAGGACTCATATTTCGAGGCTTTCCGGCCCAAAGACCACAGCGTTTAGGGTTTAGGATAGCATTTGAGGCTTTTGGGCTCTTTTGAGCCTTGGGCCACCTGATCCTTCGATTGCTCTTGGCGCCGCACTCGCCCTCGAGGCTGGAACTCGCTGCGTCGCTGCTCTCCTTTAATGGGGTGCGGGTTTGTGGGTTTATAGGGCGGTCCAGGGCTTGGGATCTTCCAGAAATCGGCTATAAGTGCCCTGCATGAGGGTTTGTTAACACCTTTGTGTTGTCGGCAGATATGTTCTAGCATAGAAGGCAATTAGAGCCCCTTCAAAGCAAGGAAGCATTCATCCCTGCTCGTAGGCTCTGTTTGCTCTTGGCGTCAGGGTCTGCTCCGAGAATCCGGATGAGGGGTTGAGGCCTTAGATGGGCACAGTCGTGGACTCATGCCCACGTGTTAGTCAGGAAGTTTATGCTCATTTATAAGGCAATGCAACTCGAGAACCCTCTTTAAGTCTTTGCCCAAATCCTGAACCCTCTACATCGAACTGACGTAACCTTAAACTCGAACCCTGCGAACCGTTCTTAACCTCAAAACCCTAAGCCCAACACCGTCAACCCCAACACAAACTCTACTGTGACCCTAAGCTTAATCCCATCCTAAACCACAGTATAAACCCCACCCGAACCTTTAGCCCAATGCACTAAACCAAAATAGGAACCCTCCTGCCTGTACTACTCGTTTTTCTTTTGGTAAACTAACCGCCATAGGAATCGTAGAAGTAGGAGTCACAGGGCTTCTAGTAAACGCCATAGCTACGGATTTTCAACCATGCTGTAATACCACCCCCCCTCCGGTCTAAGGCACCAGGAGTGCGAGGTCGGGCGCCGCGGCTGCCGGTGCGGCTGCGGGCTGCTCCTCGAGGCCAAAGGTCGTGAGGGCTTCGAAGAAACATGGGGGGGGTCCTTGATCAAATTAGAACTTCAGAAAAGATCATGAACCCTGAAACTGAAACACTTCACCCCACACCCCGAACCCATAACCCATGAACCCTAGACACTTGACCCTGGCAAACCAAGGCTTTGCGCGCGCCTTCGGCTCTTCTGCCAAGGTCGGCACACCTCGTGATCAGGCGCAGCAGGGCGAAAATGGGAGAATCGAGGCGGAAGCTGAATTAAGTTGAGGGATTGGGGATGGGCTGATTTGTTTGAGGGCTCTTGGTCTTGTCCGTCACGACGAGTCAGAACGACATATTGGACGTGTCTTTTCGGAACCAAGGTGGTTTAGGGTTTAGGATTCGGGCGCAAGCTTCTTGTAGTGATGCGGGGTTTTCGATTCAGCGCCTGGGGATTTCAGATCTGGAGATGATTCTGTTGTTCGAATTACCGTACATAATCGTCCGGTAAACTTGCTTCTTAACAAGTCCATCCCTTCCTTGTCCCTGCAAGCCGTTGCGACGGCCTGCCACGTCATCGCCAAAATGCCGTGTCGAATGCAGTCTCCGCATATGCATGTGCATCTGCGTTCAGGTGTCTTTTCATAGTCACAGCCATGGTGAAACTTCGATATTGCACAGCTAGTGACATCAGCACAACTGCTGCGCTTCCCTAAACCCTCTTCCCCGGTCTTCCCATACGTGTGTCCAGCAGACTGTCTATCTCTTCGTCCCCCATCTTATCTGTGCACAGCCCACCCGGTGTTGAAGCAAGGCCCCTCGCCTGTTGATGTCTTGTTCTCGGGGGAGGTAAGGCCAGAAGCTGGCAGCAAAGCTTCCACATCCTGGGCAGGTTTGGGGGGTCTCGGGCCCGGGGCAACGGGGGCAACGGTTTAGGTTATGTTATGGTTTGGTGAGCCAAAACGAGCCTGTAAGCCAGAAATCAGGGATGGCCTGTGATTCTCCTGATGCCAAGGTGTAATTGTAAGGTGACGGTTGCAAAAAGGAAAGTGAGGTTCCGAGTGTCACCTCCCCCCGAGCCTTTATTTCGCATTCAACAAGCTGAAAGTCGCTGCTCGTCTTTGCATCCCCCATGCTTCGTGGCTTCATGATATGACCACTCAGGGTTTCTTTGCTGTGGATTTCATTGCATTTTGCGTTGGGAAGATTGAAGGAATCGGAGCTTGTGATGCGAGTCTCTGTCAACCTTTGTTTTTTTCATTGTCTTCGACCCAAACCGCCATCATATGTCCGACAGTGCAAACTGCTACACCAAACCCTAAGCCAAATCCTGCCCTTCCTTCATCGGCTTCATCGACCCCAATAAACCCATGAAGCTATCAGAACAACCCGCCAAAAACCCCATGGCCGCTCCTTAAAGCTCCGTAAACCTACATTAAAAACAAAAACAAAGACGCGCCACCCCAAAACGCCATGAAAGTGCCAACCACTCCGAGAGCCCTGGCCAAGGAGTCGCTGGTGCCGGAATCGTCGGAGAGGTCGGAGTCCAGGCCTGGGCAAGCTTTGTGGGGCTTTACACGGGTTTAAGTAGAGAGCTACAAAGGGGTTTATGTAGCAGACTCAAAGGAGATTTTCAAGGGTTTTAGGGTCTTTGGCGTTTAGGCTGTAAGGTTAAGGGTTGTAGGGGCCTTGGGGCTTTGAAAGCTTTAGGGGCTCAGGATTTGTCAGAGCCTCAGGGGTTTACGGGTTGGGGTTGACGATTAGGCCTGGGCCAGGCCCTGTGTCGTACAGGTTTACCGTCTTTACATTGGTGTAGTTGGGGGACTTATTTGGGGGTTCGAGTTCGGAGGGATATTTCCTACTGCACAAGGGTTTCCAACCTTAAGCTTGGTGCAATGCATCTATGATGCGATGCGTTGTGCACGGCTCATCCTGCACCTTCATGCCTCAAAGGTGTTGAAAAAACACAAGCAGGTCCATGACTTAGGTCCGGAGGTGACACTTAGATTTAGGGGCTTGCCGGTCGAAGGCTTCTGTCCAAGGGTAGGACGGGCGGGTGGGGGCCGATTTCTGTACTTTACTCCAGCACCTTGGCACGGCCTGCACCCGAGACACCCTGTGAAGCTGAGGCAGAGTGGGAGTGCCCGTACGTTCGGCTCCACGGGCGTCCGGTCCGTGCATTCGTCTTGCATATCTGCTGACACTCGTTGACATCTTTTTCCTGCATGCTACGGAACTAAGACAGGGTTTATGTGTGGGACTACAGAATTTTGATGTCCAGCGCATTCCAGCTGCTATAGGGCTTGAACAGCCTGGGATGCTGGGATAAAGCAAAAATCGGACCCGAAGAAATTCAGATTTGCTCGAAATAGCATTGAAAAACCACCAAGACCGATGTGTTGCGGCGCTGATTCTTCAAAACTGACACATCGCAAGCCGCCACCTAATTTTGCAACATGCGCTTCCAGAAACCCCTCTATTTCATGCAGTTGCCTTCCACCCCCCCCAACACCCCAAAACCCCGAATTTCTCTCAACCTCTTACTTGCTCCCAAGTTCCACACCCAGTTCCGCTAGCACATCATCGCCAGCCATGGCATGGCAAGGACGGACGGTTTGTGTTAGTCATTTATTAGCCTACAGCCGCTGTCAGCAAAAGCTAACGGTGTTTGAAAGTCTTCTTAGTTCATGCTTATGTGTCACGAGCTTTTTTTAAATCCGATGCACGTGAAAAGCTTTCAAGGCTTCATGGGCATGGATCTTGGGGGCTAGGGTAGATGCTTCATGCCGCGCGAGCCATGCAAGGAACATGCAAGCAAAAACCATTCAGCGAAGAATGGGAGAGGCCGTCATGCGTCTATCTGGACTTGAAGCAGCGGACACGATTCTGAGGAGTGCTTGCTTCTGGTGGCATTCGCCGGGCCGGGATTCCACCGGGCTCCAAGACTTATGTAGCGGAAGAGGCTTGGGTAACTGATCAGGAAAGCATCCCTTGTTGAGTACACCTCACACCATCTCGCGCCGGCGGCTGGAGGCTTGAACCTCAGCTTTCGACGTGGTTCTTGGGATATAAAATAGATACAAATTCGATGTGCTGTGACATCCGCTGAGCCACAACCATGGAGAGGCCCTGGCCTCAGCCTTGGTGTGTGTGGTTGCCCTTGTTTCGGTGGCCCAAAGCGTCCTGAAACAAGGGAAACACCCATGTCCCGGTCCCGTGAGTTGTCCGACCTAGCGTTGAGAGCCTGGTCCAATCACGTTTACCTATAAAGACTCGAGTGAAAACTCGAAAGCCACAGATTTAGGCTTGAACCGTGGGGGCATGTTGTGAAGCTTCATCTGGGACATTGTTGCTGCATTGGATCAGCCAGGCCTTGCGGCTTGATATGTAATTTGCTAGCGCCAGGCTATCACGGATCTAGCGCCAAGGTGGGGTTTAACTTGCCCAACATGGGGCCCC